CTTTGTGCTCGTGTGCCTTGGCGCTGGTTGTTTGTTGTTTGTTGTTTCTTGTTCGTTGTTGCTTCTTGTTTGTGTTGTTCGTTGTGTCTTGTTGTTGTCGGTTCTTTACGTTTCTCCTTGCTTGTGCTGTTTGGTGTTTCTTGTTTGTTGTCGGTTCTTTATGTTTCTCCTTGTTTGTGTTGGTTGTTGCTTATTGTTTGTGTTGTGTATTCTTTGCGTTGTTTGTTGTTTCTTGTTTGTTGTGGGTTCTTGGTCTTTCTTGCTTGTGGCAGTTTCTTGGTGGGTTGTGCTGTTGTTGCCCTTTCATGGCGATGAAATGGAAATGTCGTTTTGGACCCTTGAAAACCAAGCGTTTCGCTGAGGCGAAATCGCGACGGAAGAAGCATTTATGTGCGCCGCCATCGTTTTCACACACTTGAAAACAAAGGTTTGGACATCGAAAAAGCAAACAAAAACGCTGGGTTTTTGCATGACCAGACTTAAATCGTCGAATTTCAGCGGACAACCCTTGTGGGGGGCGGCTGGACAACCGACGGCCTTGTTAAAGTTGTTGTTGTGGTTGGTATTGTTGTTGTTATTATTGTCGAAATCGTTGTTATTGTTGTAGTTGTTGTTGTTGTTGCTGCTGTTGTTCTTCTTCTTGCTGTTGCTGTTGCTGTTGCTGTTGCTGTTGTTGTTGTTGTTGTTGTTGTTGTTGTTGTTGTTGTTGTTGCTATTGTTATTGTTATTGTTCTCGTTCTTGTTCTAGTTCTTGATTTTCTTGTTGTTGTTGTTGTCGTTGTCGGTGGTGTTGTTGTTGTTGTTGATAATGATGATGATGATGTATTGTTGTTGGTGTTGTTGTTGTTGTCGGTGTTGTTGTTGTTGTTGTTGTTGTTGTTGTTGTTGTTGTTGTTGTTGTTGTTGTTACTGTTGTTATTGCTATTGTTGTTATTGTTGCTGTTGTTGCTGTTGTTGTTGTGGTTATTGTCGGTGTTGTTGGTGCTGTCGTGGTTGTCGTGGTTGTCGTGGTTGTCGGTGTTGTTGTTGTTGTCGCCGTCGTCGTCGTCGTTGTCGTTGTCGTTGTCGGTGTTGTGGTTGATGTTGTTGTTGATGTTGATGTTGTTGTTGTTGCTGTTGCTGTTGCTGTTGCCGTTGCCGTTGCCGTTGCTGTTGCTGTTGCTGTTGCTGTTGCTGTTGCTGTTGCTGTTGCTGCTGCTGCTGCTGCTGCTGTTGTTGTGGTTGTGTTGTCGTTGTGGTTGTCGTTGTCGTTGTCGTTGTTGTTGTTGTTGTTGTGGTTGTTGTTGTTGGCGACCTTCCGTCTTCGCGGCCACCACAAATACCAGCGTATTTGGGTAGCTGTGTTGGCGACGCTCGCGCCCGCCACACTGCTTACATGCTGGCACATGATAAGCACACGCGTTCCAGCGCACACCCGCGACACTGCCCCCATGCTTGCACATGATAAGCACACCCGTTCCAGCACACACTCGCCACACTGCCCACGTGCTGGCACATGATAAGCACACATGTTCCAGCGCACACCCGCCACACTGCCCACATGCTGGCACATGATAAGCACACACGTTCAAGCGCACACCCGCCACACTGCCAACATGCTGGCACATGATAAGCACACGCGTTCCAGCGCACACCCGCCACACACCCGCCACACTGCCAACATGCTGGCGCTGGCACATGATAAGCACACACTTTCCAGCGCACACCGGCCACACTGCCCACATGCTGGCACATGATAAGCACATGATAAGCACACCCGTTCCAGTGCACACCCGCCACACCGCCCACATGCTGGCACATGATAAGCACACCCGTTCCAGCACACACCCGCCACACTGCCCACATGCTGGCACATGACAAGCGCACCCGTTCCAGTGCCCACCCGCCACACTGCCCACATGCTGGCACATGATAAGCACAACCGTGTGTTGCAGGAGCTCTTTCCCATTTTTAACGTTGGCTGAAGCAGGTTCCAGACCTTACATTCAAGCAGCGTGTCGGAAGCTCTCGTTCAGAT